ATCCCTGATTGCTCCTGGTGTCATTTAGCATAATCGGCAACGACCTTGGTTGTTGGTGCTTAATCCAATAATAGTGAAACCTGTTTAAGCTGTTAAGGATGATGGTTCTTAAATCCATCTGCTGTAATAGTGAAACCTGATTACACTTTAAGGACTGTGGTTCTGAAATGGATCTGTTCACCCTATTTTATAGGAATCCTAGACTAAATTTTCAGGATCACTAGGGATGTGCCACTATGCTAAAAAGTGCCACTATGCTATAAAGACTATGCTAAATCTACAGGAATCATGTAATCCTTTACAGAAACAGTATATCTGCCCTGGCAATTGCTGGACTAGAAATGATTTCTCTTACTCTGAGAGTCTGAAGGGCTTAATGGAGACAGTAACTGTGTCTCTACTGAAAATACCCATGGTCCGTTGATTACCTGAGACTGTTTTCCCTCTTGAAGTTAGGGAAGCAGCACTTAAGGAAAAGGTAACTTTATAATAATGGGTTAAAGATAGCAGCTGTCACCTCAAATATATCTTGTGATATTTTCTCTGCTTTAAAAAGATTCTAATGCCCATACACAACTGTATAATTTCAACTGACAAATTATGCAATAGCCAAATATTAGAGATTCCAATTTGCATAATAATGTATTTTAATTTAGATAAGATAGCTTTTGCCCCAAGACTAATAATTTATTTAACTCAGGTATTAACAGATCTAAGTATATGATCTAAAATATGTAATAATTTAGTTTTTACCTTACATTGTTTTATCCCCTATTGATGTTTCATATCCTATCATTTAGGGCAAGATAGGAAAGTGTGACAGGAGTCTTCAGGAGTTTCTAGTTCAAAAGCAAATGCTCTAATATGCCAAAATAAAAAATAAATAAATAAAATAAACAAACAAAAAAAAATAAACAAAAAAAAAAGCAAATGCTCACAATATTGTTTTCTTTCTTCTCCATCCTAATCTTGAGTCAGCCTTGCATTCATTAAATCCTACTTGTCATGAGACACGTTTCTGTAGTATCAAACTGCAAATAGTGCATCCATATTTTATTAAGATCTCTAAAGCTTTATTTATTGGGATATTGACCTATAGATAGATCTTTAGACAATGTGAAATTATCACAACAAAAATTGTGCAATAACATACTACCAAACTATTTGATCCAGCAATAGCATTATTAGGCATCTACCCAAAGGAACAAAAGACATTCTATAATAAAGACATCAGAACTCGAATGTTTATGGCAGCACAATTCACTATTGCAAGGATATGGAAACAACCCAAGTGCCCATCAATCCATGAGTGGGTTAATAAAAATATGATATATGTATATAATTAAATACTACTCAATTACAAAAAACAATGGTAATGTAGCACCTCTTATATTTTCCTAGATAGAGCTTCAGCCCATCCTACAAAGTGAGGTATCACAAGAATGGAAGAATAAGCACCACTTGTATTCGCCATCAAATTGGCATTAACTGATCAACACTAAGGTGCTCACACAGTAGTACTATTCATTGGGAGTTGGGGAATGGGGGTGGGGAGACTCACAACTAATGGGTGCAGTGAGCATTGTATGAGGGAAACGGCCCACCTCCAATCTTGGGTTGGGCAAGGAAAAGTCAACATGTAACCAAAATGTTTGTACCCCATAATATCCTGAAATAAAAAAATAATAATAAAGTAAAATAGCAGGGAATGAAAACAAAACTGGGCTGGAGAGTTATTCTAAGAACACAGCTATCTTTCTTCATTAGTATAGCATGGTGGTTAAATGCACTGTCTTTACAAAACCCTCAGACAGGTTCAAGACTCCACTTTGCCCCTAATTAGGGTATGAATTTAGGCAAATAACTTCAAGACCTCTCTGTGCCTATGTCCTCCTCTTCTTTACAATGCCTGCCTCACAGATTTGTGAAAAAATAAATTACCACACATATGACCATCACAGCAGCAATTCCCCTGTTGTAAATGGTCATGAAAGGTTATGCATACAACTCTTGAAAGCCCCTTAATTAAAGAACAACTTTAAGTATTTCCTAGAGAAAACCAGTGGTACATGGAGAATACTGGATTTCATTTGACACTATAAATGCAGCTCATGACTCATTTTTCCATGCAGGATTTTCTGGCTCTGAAGACAAATATCAGTGACTGGGAACTGGCAGAATGGCCTCCGGGGATTTGGCTGTAGGAGTGGTGTGCTTATCACAGACTGTGGTTGGGCTCATGGGGAACGTCTCTCTTCTTTACCATTACCTCTTTCTTTACTTCACTGGGTGTAGGCCGAGGTCCACAGACTTGATTGTTGAGCACCTGATTATAGCCAACTTCTTATCCCTCCTCTCTAGAGGAGTCCCCCAGACCATGGAAGCTTTTGGGTTGACACTTTTCCTCAATGATATTGGATGCAAACTTGTCTTCTATGTCCACAGAGTGGGCAGGGGTGTGTCCATCAGCACCACCTGCCTGCTGAGTGTCTTCCAGGTGATCACGATCAGCCCCAGGAACTCCAGGTGGGGAGAGCTTAAAGAGAAGGCTCCCAGGTACACAGGCTTTGCTATTTTCCTGTGCTGGGTCCCATACATGCTGGTCAATATCATTTTTCTTATGTATATCACTGGCAAATGGGGCAACACCAACAGCACAATGAAAAAGGATTTGGGATACTGTTCTGGGGTAAAACAGAACAAAATCGTACTATCACTACATGCAGCACTGTTATCAATCCCTGACATGTTCTGTGTGGGGCTCATGCTCTGGGCCAGCAACTCCATGGTTTGCGTCCTGTTCAGGCACAAACAGCAGGTCCAACACATCCATAAGAACGATCTCTCCCCCAGATCCTCCCCTGAGTCCAGAGCTACCCACAGCATCCTCGTCCTGGTGAGCATGTTTGTATCTTCTTACATGCTCTCCTGCATTTTTCAAGTTTGTATTGGTCTTTCTGATAATCCCAATATTTTACTAGTGAACATTTCAGCCTTACTTAATGCTTATTTCCCAACTGCCTGCCCCTTCATTCTCATGAGCCGTGTGTCCAGAGAACCCAGGCTTTGCTTTGCCTGGATAAAGATTACAAAATCCCCTAAACTCATCATAAACATGTAAAGTGTATATTTTTGCACAATGTTCAGTTGGTTATTCACTCATCCTTCCAAAATTATAAGCATACTATGAAACAATCACCATTGTGAGAGAGTGGTGAACTAGACAGAGTGAACTTCCATCCCAGTAATAAACAGCTAGTAAGAATAAATGTAAATGAAACATAATGAAATTCATATGTAAATATTTATATCAGTGAAATTTTATTAATGCCTGCAGTAGAGTAGTTCAAAGTTTATGCAACAACAAAAAAAATTAGGTCCAGAAACAATGTGGAGATTATGAGAATGTCTTTGTGTAACTTTTAATCTGACATATTAAGTTTATGCAGAAATTAATTATGAAGTTGTTGAAAAAGCTACATGAGAAAGCAGCAACATGTGAGATGACCATTCAAGAAAGTGACGAAAAAATGTTCTCAGGTAATAAAGAGATAGCATGGAGTGAAGGTGACATGCAAATCCACTTTCAATTAATGGCCTTGGAGGCCAAGTTACAAAGTCTGTAGGTTACAGTCTTAGAGAGATGAGTCATTTAAAACATAATTATATGAAGGAAGATTAGCATATATAAAGCGTTTCCATGTAGAAATGACTAGACTGAGCCAGAGTGAGACAAAGGAGAACACAAAACGGTTGTTTTCCCAGACTTTTTAAAACATCAGATGAGTGTTGACAGTTAAAAAAATACATGCTGTGTGAGAACGCATAGATTTGGGGATTTGAAGATGCCAATTGACCATGTTGGAAAGAAAGAGATTTGGGAGAAGTATTCTCATGCCTCTGAGGTGAGAAGGTAAGTGGAGACTTTCATTTTACTGAAGTTTTCATGTAACAGTGGAGAAATAGCTAGTTGGAGAGAGACAGTTATGAATCCATTCTGTTTACATGGAGATTATGGCAGGTGGATTTCCAAAGGAGCAAAGTGATTGATTATTTCCCAATTATAGGAAACATTTTCAATACATCGTGTCTGTATTTTCATTATAAAGCTGACGCAAAGCATTAAGGATTCAATAGTTTATGAAACAAAAGAATTAGTTTGGCATAATGGATGTGTTGAACCTCATGGAACAAAAATAAACATATTTGTAGCTCACATGATGCTCTTAGAAATATTGACTACACGTTAGATCACAAAGCAAGATGGAAAGTATATGTGTATATATTTGTGTTTGTGTGTTTATAATCAGTGACATACTTGATATCCATCAAGCAACATTAGAAATTTTTGCATTAGGAAATGTAAAATTAATACTAATTACAATAATGACAAATTAACTTTAAAATCTATTTATTAGATATGCATATAGCCATGGTAGCAGTTTAATTGGTTAAAATTATGCAGAATGTGTTTTTCTTTATTCTTTATTATTCCTAATGTTTTAGCAATATCTCTTAAAAATACTCAATTGATTATATAGCCAAAGGAAATGAAATCAGTATGTCAAAGAGGTATGTGAACCCCCATGTTTATTGCAGCACTATTCACAATAGCCGAGACATGGAATCAACCTAAGTGCCCATCTACAGATGAATGGATATGGAAAATGTGATAGATAGATAGATGTAATGGAATATTATTTAGCCATGAAACAGAATGAAATCCTGTTTGTTATTTGCATCAACATGGAGGAACCTAGAGGTTATACGTGAAGTGAAATTAGACAGGCACAGAAAGACAAACACTGCATGATCTCACTCATGTAAAATCTAAACTGTGGCGTTGATTTCACAGGAAGTAGGGTGTGGAATAGTGGTTACCAGAGGCTGGGGAGGGAGTGCGGGAGAGGGAGGACCCGCAGAGGTTGGTCTATGGGCACTTAGTTACAGTTGCTAGGAAGAAAAAGTTCTGGTGTTCTATTACACAGTAGGGGGCTTGTAACAAATAACAATGCAGTGTATGTTTCAAGACAGCTGGAAGAGAAAATTTTGAATGGTAACATCTTTTTCAAAGTGTCATTAGTTTATCTTGCCAATTTTATTTCATGTTGTGTGGTCTGTCTTTTCCTTGTTGATTTATCCAAACTGGACGCAAGCCCCTTTTTTGTTCTCTCTGGCTCTTTCTTTCTGAGAAGAAATTTTAATATAATCTTAATTTTAATATAATCTAATCTGTCACTTTCCATTTTACAATTCATGATTTTGGTTCTCTTTTTTAAATTAGTATTATCTCAATAGATTTAGGGGGTGCAAGTGTTTTTTGGTACACAGATGACTTGTATAATGCTGAAGTCAGGGCTTTACGTGTACCCATCACTAGAATAGTGTACATTGTGCCTCACACATCTCTCACCCTCCTCTCTGCTTAGTTTTTAATGTCCATTACACCTCTTTATGACCATATGTACCCCTCATTATCTCCCACTTATCAGTGAGAACATATGGTATTTGCTTTTTTATTCCTGAGATACTTCATTTACTATAATGCTCTCCAGTTTCATCCAAGTTGCTCAAAAAGACATTATTTCACTCCTTTTTAATAGTACTCCATGGTGATTTTTTGTTCTCTTGCAGAAATCTTTTCCTACTCTAATACCGAAGAGATATTTTGTCTAAAGCATCATTATTTATTATTTCAATTTTAAATCATCAATCCATTCAGAATCTATTTATCTATGGGTGGTGATTTGCATTTTTTCCATTAAATTAGCAAATTTCAATTTATTCTCAAAATGTATTCTGCTCTCATTCGTGTGCTCTCAGCTGTCCTTGCCCGGTCCTTGTCCTTGTCACCATCGTCTCTCCGTCGGGACTGATTTTCCTGCCCGTCCCCTGGCAATTCTATTTCCTCCTTTCTCCTTCAGTCGTTAGCAGTCCCAGAGTTCCACCAACCAAGGTCAGACTGATTTTCAAAATCCTTCAAGGGGCCTTTGTGTTCCAAAGATCAATCTCTCAAGGTTGGTTGGTTGGTTGGTTGGTTAGTTGGTTGGTTTGTGGCTCATATCCACTTCTGTTCCAGACTATTTTTTCAAGGTTTTGTTTTGTTTTGTAGTTTGAGTTTTTTAAACAACAGAGAGTTCTAGAATAGAGCAGTAGTGTCACTCCAAAGCAAAGGGCAGATTAATTGCCTGACCAATGTAATAAAGATTATGCCTCCTCTGAAGCAAAAATTGGGCAGGTTTGATTGCAACTCATTTTTAAAGACTGAGGTTTCTTAAGCTCAGGGTTTTCCAGCTGTGATGCAAATCTGCTGCGTGTGCAGCATCCGCCTGGGCCTCTTTGCCTCACCCACACAGAACTTGGCAGAGCAGGGGGCACGGGTGTGAACATGAAGTTCTTGGTGACTAATGGGCCACGAATGATAATGTCTTTTTCTCAATCTCAGGTGTCACATATTTTCTGTCCACATCCATGAAACAGGCAGGTAAGTGTGTTGGCTTGCCAATGGGGTAAAATCTACAGCCCTTCATATTTCTTGACAGTCTTGGTGACAGGGATGCGATGCTGACAAACAAGGACACAGGTCACTGTGGGGGAGGGAAGCTAACTTGACCACATAGGTGGGACCCTTCCCCATTGCAAATGGATTCACCACTCTGTTGTTCCTATACCAAAATGTATAGCAGGAATTCATGTGTTACATGCTTATACTTCCACATTCCAGTAGGGATTATCCCAAACACAGTAAATTTCAGGTAGAGAAGTGATAGTGAGTCAAACTCCAATGCCATTTTCCATTAGTGAGTGAGTCAGGATTTAGCACGAGGGCACCAGCCTCTGATGTCCAAAGTTTTGACTATGTAGATAACATTCCATTTGTTGACAAGATAGACACCCCAGTCTCAATCGCCCTGACTAGGATATCGTCACCTCTCTGCAAAGAAAGGCCGCTGACAAAACCCAACAAAAGGTAAAGTCCTATTTTCCAGTGAAAGCTCATTGAGATTATGTACAATGCTCAATCTTTCCAGCAGGAAGCAAAAACTACCCACATTCATCAAAAAGGAGGCCAAGGTCCTTAGTGGATTTCTGGGGTGCTGGCAGCAATTCAAGTCTCTGTGTCTGATTTTGCCATTTGGAGTCTCTGGCGAAGGGAGATAACTTCTAAACTAGGGGATCCCCTTTGGGTTTGGACTCGCTTCTAACAGAACTCACCTGTAAATTGCTTTCGGAAGCAGTGATTAACTTGCTACCAAGGTCTTCTTGAAACTGAAGCCTGACCCATAGAGGCCTTTCAACTCTCCAGTCTGACATCCTCATCTTAATGTGAGTCAATCTGGGCCACTAACAAGGAAAGAAGAGCCCCAAAAGTCTGTGTGTCAAATGGAAATAGCGTTTTTGAGAATGAATGCTGACTGGCTTCAGCAATACCTTGGCTTTGCAAGAATAAGTTTAGGTCTTCCTTGGTTGGAACAGCGAAGGCCTCTGTGCTGCTCAAACCAAATTCCCCAGCACTAGGATCCCCTAATTCTCCAACATCCCCCTAACTGCCTGGCCTCGTTTGGCTGATGGTGCAGCTAAGCTGTATCCCAATGGTATCAGCTGAGCTGGTACAGATGTTTAACCTCAGTCCCACCCACACAAAACTGAAAGCAAACATGGTTGCTTTACTCAGTGGCCAGACCCCAGCATTTGGGGCTGTTGACCATGTTAAAGATGTTTGACTTGCTGCTTGGAAAACTGTAGGCTGGAGGCTTAAGTACCCATCTCTTTGGGCCTATGAATTCCTGCTGAACTGTCTGCTGATTTGAAACCCATAGTAAGGTTCTTTTCTTTGAAGACACTGTCATTATACTGATGATTGATCCTGTTTATGATGCAGAGACAATCACTGCGTGCTCCACTGGGACTTCTTGTAACAGCTGACCCATTGGTCTCATGCTGGGTCCTTGTGATGATTGTGAAGTCCTTGTGATGATTCATTTTAGTCGTCAGCTTGACTGGATTAAGGGATACCTAGAAAGCTGGTCTGTGTGTGTGTGAGAATTTTCCCACAGAAGACTGGTGTTTGAGTCAGTGGACTGAGTGGGTAACATCCATCCTCAGTGTGGTAGGCACCATCCAATTGGATGGATCAAAAAGGCAGAAGGAAGGAGAATTCACACTCTCTCTCTCCTGCTTTTGGACATCATAACTCCAGGTTTTCCATCCTTTGGACTCTGAGACTTGCACCAGCAGCGCCCTGGATCCTCGGACCATCAGCCTCGGACTGAAAGTTATATCATCAGCTTTCCCGGTCCCGAGGCCTTTGGGCTTGGACAGCCATGCTGCCAGCATCCCTGGTTCTCCAGCTTGCACTGGGCCTATTGTGGGGCTTCTCAGCCTCCATAATTACATGAGCCAGTTCCCCTAAGAATTGCCTTCCCATCTATATAGATATCTGACTGGTTCTGTCTCTCTAGAGAACTCTGACTAGCCCAGTCCCCAGTGGACCATTCCCAACTTCAGATGACCCTTTTACCCTGCACCCCCCTTCTCTTGCTATCTCCCTCCCTAGGAATCTTCCCTCCCATGTCAACCCCGGACTATACTGAGGCTGTAGAATTGCATCGGCATGCTAGGAAAAGGGATAGAGGAAAGAAGATGGGGTACATCGGCTTCACCAAAGAGAAAGCAGATGCCATGCTACTCTGTTTCAGGCAAACTCTCCAAAGTGGAAAAATAGGAGGTCAGGTGTTATGAGGTGAAAGTAGGAACAGAGAGATGTTATGGGAATCTGAGAAGAATGGCTTTTTGAGTGTGTACTCTTGCAAGATTACACTGTGAGAGTCCAATGAACGAAGATAAAAAGTCAAGTGGTCTATGAGTACAGGAGGAGGGCTCACAAATGCACAGCACTTTACGTTTACCAGGTGATTCCACAGAAATATCCCCTAACATCCTGTGTGCAGGCAACATGCCATATCAGAGGAGCAAGGTGAGACTTAGGCAGGCTAAACAACTTATCTAAAGCCAGCACCAGGATTTTTGCCACTGGAACCACCTGGTGGCTCTTCCACTATATCTACAACTATCCCACACCAGAGAAGACTGACTGCTGAGCTCCACCACCCTTTAAGTCCCGTTGGGTGGGCACTGCAGGGAATGGGAGACGGGCTTTATTCTCTTCCTGTGGCTCTCATTCTGTGGGCTCTTCTTTCTGAGAGGAACATGCTCCAGAAGCTGATATCCACAAAGATTGTGGATCTGAGAACCCATGGAAAGAAGAGATTAAGATAATTCTAGAGAGCCCAGGGCAAAACCTGCAGGACCTTAGCTTTCAATGCTCTGCCATTGTCACTGCTGTTGTACATTGATGCTGAAAAATGAGAAAGAAATGAGGGTCTGGACCATCTCACTCTCCTCTCTCTAGACAAACAGCAGATACTCATCATAAATACTGACTTTCCATGTTGAGTTAATGGAGGTCCGTGTTCCTTTCCTATTTTTTTTTTCAATTTTCTGTGGTAAAATGTACATAACATAAATGTACCGTGTTAACAATTTTTAAGTGGAACATTCAGTGCCATTTGGCACCATCATCCATCTCCAAAACTCTTTTCACCGTTTAAAACTATAACTGTATCTATACCCATTAAACCCTAACTGTCCATTCCCCGCCCCCGCCTTTGACAACCACCATTCAACTTTCTATCTCTATGATTTTTGACTACTCTATCTACCTCTTATAAGTTGGGCCATACAGTATTGGTCATTTTATGATTGGCTTATTTTCCTTAGCAGAAAGTCTGCAAGGTTCATCCATGTCTAAGCATGCGTAAGACTTTCCTTTCTTCTTCAGGTTCAATAACATCCCATTGTATGTATAGACCACATTTTGCTTATTTCTCCATCTCTTGATGGACACTGGGTTGCTTCCGTGGTTTAGCTGTTGTGAATAATGATACTATGAACACGGTGTACAAATATATCTTTGAGACCCTACTTTCAATTCTTTGGGTTATATACCCAGAAGTGGAATTGCTGGGTCATATGGTCATTCTATGTTTAATTTTTTGAGGAATCACTACACTGTTTTCCACAGTGCTCATAACATTTTACATTCCCATCAACAGTACACAATGTCTTCACTTTCTCACCAGCACTTGTTATTTTCTCTCTCTTTTTTTATACTAGCCATTCTAATGGGTATGAAGTACTATTTCAATGGGTATTTCATTGTGGTTTTGATTTGCATATTCATAATGATTAGTGATGTTGAATATCTTTTTATGTGTTTAGAGGTCATTTGTATAACTCTGAGATATATTTTATCAAATTTTTTACCCATTTTTGAAGCATGTTGTTTGACTTTTTGCTGAGTTCTCTAATTATGTTATCATTGATTTTAATCCCATATCAAATATATGATTTGCAGTCATTTTCTCCCAGTCCATAAGTTGTCTTTTTACTCTGTTGATATTGTCTTTTAATGCACATTTTAAAAAATTTTTATAAAATTCAATTTGTTTATTTTTTCTTTTGTTGCCTGTGCCTTTGGTGTCATATTCAAAAATCATTGCCAAATCCAATGTCATGAAGGTTTTGCCCTATGTTTTCTTCTAAGGGTTTCATAGGCTTCGGTCTTACATTTAGGTCTTTGATATATTTTGAGTTAATATTTGGATATAGTATTAGACAAGGGCCCAAGTTCAATCTTTTACATGCGGATACCCAGTTTTCCCAGCACCATTTACTGAAAAGACTGTTCCTTCCCCATAAATAGTTTCTCATGCTTGTCAAAAAGCATTTGACCTTATAGCAAGGCCTTATTTCTGGGCTGTTTTATTCCATTGGTCTATATGTCTGTGTCTTTGTGCCAGTGCCATGTTATTTTGATTACTGTAGGTTTCTAGAAGCTTTGAAATCAAGAAGTGTGAGTCCTCCGACTCTGTTATTACCTTTCACAATTGTTTAACTATTCAGGGTCCCTTGAGATTTCACATGAATTTTAGGATTGGTTTGTCAAATTTTGCAAAAAAATAAAAGTCATTGGGCTTTTGATAGAGATTGCATTGACTCTGTAGATCACTTTGGGTAGTACTGACATCTTAACAATATTAAGTCTTATAACCCATAAACATGGGATGTGTTTCCACTTACTTTATAGCTTCTTTAATTTCTTTCAGCACTCTTTGCAGTTTTCATTTTACATGTCATTTATCTCCTTGATTAAGTTAATTCCTAAGTGTTTTCTTTTATGTTATTATAAATGGAATTTTAAATGTTTATTTTGGTTTGTTCATTGTTAATGTATAGAAATGTAACTGATTTTTGTGTGTTGAGTTTGTATCTGGCTACTTTACTGAATTCTACTAAATTCATTAGCTCTAACTTTTTTGTGTGGAATTGCTAGGGTTTTCTACATATAAGATCAAACCACCTGTCAACAGAGATAATTTCACTTCTTTCTTTCCAACTTAGATGCCTTTTATTTCTTTTTCT